GCCAGGGTTTTTGCCTAAACCACTTGTCTGGCTCCCTGCACAGTCGCTGGAGAGAGATCAGCATCCATCAGAGTGGGGGAAACTGAGGCTGGGGATCTGCAAAGATCGCCCACAAGTCGCTGGCCGGACCCAGAGAGAAGGCAGGTCTCCTACGAGCACGCTGTGTCCACGGGGAAGCACTCCCGCTTGCAGCTCTACGCGGCCACAAAAGTGCCGGGCTAAGGGGAGCGGGAGGGAAACTCGTCTGGCTCCGTCCGTCCGTCCGTCCGGGCTCCTTACTATGCCAGGGTTAAAGGCAAAGTATCGCTGCGTTCAGCACGGCGGCAGCTGAAAGCAAAGAGACGGACAGAGAGTGAGCGGGGGACGGAAAGGGACGTCAGTGCGGCCCCAGCTCCGGTGCATCCTTCCTCCTCGCCCCGAAGGGAACCGAACCAGCAATCGCACCTCCACCACACGCTCCCGCTCCTGGTATCGCTGCTGCCCTGCCTCGCACCGAAAAGACCTCCCAGCGCCCCCGTAACAGGCAGAGCTGAGCTCGCCTGCTGCGGCAGGACTCATCCTGCCCAGCTGAAGTGCTGGGTTTAATCCAAAGCAGCTGCCCAGCTTTCAGCGCAGAGGGAGAGAGGCACCTCCAGGTCACGTCATCTCCCCTGGCTCGGATGTCTTCGCGGGGGATGAATCGCAATTGGAAAAAATTTTCTCTCCCGTGGCTCTCGAGGGAGCTCAGACGAGACAATTCCCTCTGAGAGATAAGGGCACGAAGCCCTCGCTTGGCATCGCAACGTGACAGTCGGGGAGGCGTTAATCCCTCTCCGGCCGTGGGCAGAGACACCCTGCAGGTCTCGGCAGCACCGGGGACCTGTCCGTCCCCTGGCAGAGCTGTGCCCGCTGCAAGGGGACGGCGTATCCAGAGCCCCAGATCTGAACCGGACCCCGAAGCACGGCCCCGTGGGCGGACCGCTCTCCAGGCGGTCTCATTTCACGCCCCTCGCCGTCTCTGTCCTGCCCTCCCCATTCGTCACCCTGGTCCAATGCTCCCAGCGATTTTTGCACCCAGGGAGTCACAAAAACCAACTCCAGGTCTTCACGTCCCCACGATTTTAAACCGTCTCAGCCCCATCCTGGGCTGCGGTTCGGCGCGGGCTGGGGAGGACCAGGTGCGCAATTAGAGGTGCCGTAAAGCAGAAGGGCAACGGTTACCTTGCAAATTGGCTATAGGCGGTTTGAAAATTCCCCCTGTAGGAGAAGCAGCCGTCAGTCCGGGAAGGGCAGCGACCGTTGCTGTAGGAAATGTCCACACAGCCAGCCCCTGCTGACCTGCCACTTGACCTGCAATACTGATGGGGATAAGAAGAGGTTGAGTAACTGTCCCTGCTGGAACCATTACTCCTGTCACAACTGTTGCTAAGTTTTCCTGAGTCAAGACCTGCAAAAGTAAACAAGATTTAAAAAAGAACAAAAATCAACGCCACTGCAGACAGCATCAGCGAGGCAAGAGCGAGCGCAGTCTTTGCAAAGGGGTG